TCTCTCTCTCTCTCTCTCTCTCTCTCTCTCTCTCTCTCTCTCTCTCTCTTTCTTTGTCTCTCTCCCTCTCTCGCTCTCTCTCGCTCCCCCTCCCTCTTTCTCTCGCCATCTCCACCGACCTGAAAAGTCCTGCCATGCTGGGTTTGCGTAGACCGTCAAAATGCCCACACATGTACGCGATCTGTAGTCGGGATTTGCGCGGTGGCGATTACATTGGGTTCAGTCGCCGCGAACGAGCAGTGTCGTGTGAACCAACAGGGATTTCTCTTCGTGAGTTCGATGTGTGATAGGGAGTTTATGACGTTCGGAGCCATTTGATCGTGACGTTTGATTGGGTCGTGTGATAAAGGCAGAGATCGCCTCTATGTCGTGCTCTCTCTCTCTCGCTATCTCTTTATTTCTCTTTCTGTCTTTTATCTTGTTCGTTTCACTACGCTTGTTTGTGTCGTTCGCACAAAGTTTTAGAAACATAAGTTACAAGCGCAGACAAACGAACGAGACAGAACCAACAGCGTCGTGTTCCACCACCATCGTCGTCAATTTTCTATCAGTGCCTCTATGTCGTTCATTTTTTGCTTTTTCGACTGTGCCTACTTCGGATGTATCCGATCTATCCCACGGTCTTCGTTTTTAACCATTCATTCTCTTAAGGGCAGTGTGGCGTGCAGGCTTGTGGACCAATGTCGTCTAACTATGACTGAACTTCATTCTTTTGGAGTCCGGGTGACCGATAACTGAATACGTGTTGTGGATCGTGGTTGATGTTGGGACGTGCTGACTCTTCTGAGTGAATGTGGCTTCATTTCCTCTGTGTGTTTCGGGGAATGGCTTCACACGGACGAGGCCGCTCCGCTGGTGGTTCCGCCCCGCACGGAGAGGAGCGTCGAGGGACAACGTCGTCGCCGGCAAGGGAAACAAGTCGGGGAGTTGGAGGTAGGGAGGAAGAACGACGTGCTCAAAACTTGTGGTGCGACTACAACAAACGCGTCTGGTATTTCGACTTGGCGAGCCAGGACGGCTCCGACCCGTTGCGTCCACCGTGTGGGCCGCTCTTGTTCATCGCCGTTCGCGCCTACAGAACGCGTCTCGCAGGGTCCATCGTCCAGTGGGTCGACGATGGCAAATACAATTTCAAGTTTACTTTGAAGAAGCATTATAAAAGTGATGGTTTTGTCGACAACATCGCAAAGGGATGCAAGGTTGCGGGGAGGATGTTCGGCGGGTACGGTCGTCGTGCGATGTCTTTGCCTCACTTTCTCGCGCTAGCGACGGGGCACGACGAGGCCGTTCACGTCACAGACTTCCTCAAGGTCTGGGCGAAATCTGGTACCTCTGTCAGTGTCGTGGACATCGGACCTGGAACATCGATCAGTGGTCCTGTTGGGTTTGCGGGAGGAGAGTGCTCTGAAAGGGAGATGGGAAGTCTGGGTGGCTTGCCAGCTACGCCTCCTGATCAAGAGGTGGGCATGTCAGATGACTCGGAGGACGACCATCCGCGTGCTCCTTTGAAACCGGGCTTGCACGTATCTCGCCGTCACGGTTTGCTTGGGAAGTCAACGCCACATGGAGGCGGTGATGGCGAACGGTTGGGACAGGGCTTAGAATCAACGACTCCTCGTAGTCAGGTCGAAAGGATCGGTTCATTCGTTCGTGGCATGCGGGTGGCCGAGGTTTCGCTTGGAGATCGAGCGGGTGGTCTGCAGGTTTGAGAGGTGCGTGGGTCAGATAAGACGACTCGCCGGGCCCCGACCAGCGTCGGGGGAACTGCAGACGGAGTTGAGCCAGGAACGAGAAGCAAGTGTGAACGTCGCCGGTGAAGAGGAGGTGTCCGAGCAGGGGCTGTTCCGTGAGAGAGCGGCTGAAAAGACTTAGTCGGGAGGCAAGCGCAACTTGCCGGATGAGGAAGAGCGAGAGGGACTAGGTGCTTTGAAAAGGCAGAGAAAGGTACGAGGGAGTGCTCGGACGCCAACAACACGAGAGGGCGGTTCCGTTGAGAAGAGGAAAAGGGTTGGAGGTGGGGATGAAACGCCAAAAGACTCGTCGACACAGCGAAGAACCGGTGAGTCTTCCGGGAAAAGGCCGAAATCATCGAGGGGGAAGAAAGCAGACGAGGGCGACAGCGGGGAGGGGGATGACGACGTGGAGATTAACCTCAACGCCTTTAACCTCGACAATCCGTTCTTCCTCGAGATGCAGAGAGGGGTGCAGAAGGACGTCGTGTTGCACATCCATCCCGAAAGAATATTAGCTATTCCAGACTGGGAAGACACGTACAACCACCGATCCTTGGACGAGTTCCTCGTTGATACCATCTCGTCGGCTATGGTCGACTGCTACGAACGTAAAGACATGAGATACACGAAGCCCATTTTCGTTCTCGCTCCGATCGTCGCGCCTCCAGAGAACGGCGAGCCTGCTGTGGGCATGTTGCCTGCTGTGCGCATGCTTCCTGCTGACTTCGACAGCTCACACCTGGCGAAATACTGGTATTATCCTGGTTGTGGACAGCATAACCCGAAGGCGGCGATGATGGTGAAAGACCATCCCGTGTTTGATTACTACAACTTCTGTAAGTGTTTCTTCAGCCCCTGGCTGTCAGCCACAGTGGAGAGTCCTGGCCTGGCCACCTCCTCATGGGTGGGCGGCTTTTCAGTCCAACGCCAGCCGTCGGAAGCAAGGAGTTTCCCTTTCGACCACTCCTCATAGAACTTCAACCCCAAAGCGAAGACGGAGTCATCTGCCATGGCCAATGGGAGGTAGTATCGAAGTTTCTTAGCCCATTCCTTTCTTTTCTTTGCTTCCGTTGACAGGTTCCAGATAGGCGTTTACGGCGTCTTCTTCATTGCCAACGCCATGAACCGCACCCACTTTCGCACCTCGTCCTTTTTCTTCGAGGCATTGTCGAGCACCACACGCGGTTTGCGCTTAATTTTCTAGATATTGCGAATGTCCCGCATGGACAAAACCTTTAAGCGCGGTGGATTCTTTTTGTCTTTCATGTTGTCTTCGCAGCTGACATGGGCGTAGCCGTCGAACTCGTCGTCAAGGAAGTAGATCGGTGTGTACATGAAGGTGGACGACCCGTCGTTGAAAAAGGGTAGGGGGAAGCCAAAGAAAGGCGCGGAGGAGAAAACTTTCTACGTCCAAGTTCCAGAGCCGGATGTCCACTGCTGGAAGGAATCGGTCGACTTGACGGATCACGAGAAGAAAAGGCTGTTGAACGGCGTCTTGAACCTTAACATCGGTTCAAACGAGTAGCAAAAAGTTGGCCGAGCATGGGAAGTTAAGTGTCAAGGAGATGGTCGACAGAATAAAAATGGACCGGATTATGATGAGGCTATGGCACTACGTGGAGTTCGAGTACGAGGAAATGGATAAGCAGGAGTGGAATGCCAACTCCACGTTCTTCAGGTCCAAGAAGCAACTGTTCGAAGAGTTCAAGGACAGAGGTCTCTACGACAAGCTTTGGAACGAGAGCAGGAAATTTTTCACAGGCACCACATACGTCAACAAGTGCCCTCAGTTTCTCGGGTGTCAACACGACAACAACATCAAGAGAACAGCGGCCCTCGTCAACGACCAGCATTTCCCGGTGGAGTGGAAGCGTGTCGTCCTTTCGATGATCACTGGAGATCACGCCAAAGGCAAAAAAAAAACTCGGGGCGTTCATAAATGCATCAACATTATGTGGACAAGGACAAGCGCCTAGACGCAGGCCTAGTTTAACGTCGACCTATTGAGTGCCAGAGATCATAAGGAGACCCTGGGAAAACTAGGGCATCAGCTACGCTCCCACCCTTGCGTGCTCGACTTGTGCGGTGTTGCGGACCGTGCGCAATGGGACTCTGGGGCATTCGCGTCTCTGAGTGAGTTGCTGGGCTTCGTTTGTCAGGACTACTGGACATTGGTGGTATTCGTCCCCTGCCTGTGGAACCTCTCCTTCATGACATGTTTGTCTGCRCTTGGGGCTACCCGATGCTACACGGGGAAGTGGGTTCGGAAGACGGCATCGAAGAAGACGCATCAGTTTGGAAACAGCRTCTGGCAGGAGCCGGATGTGATGCACATCCTTTTCAAAGGCGAGGATCCTCGGCTACTGACTCACCCGGTGTATGAGGGAGTTGTTGATGAAGACGACGTCGTCGCCCTCCAGAGGAAACAAAAAGTGACACCCACGGATGTGGAGGAGAAGTCTTTCAAGTCTTTGACTTTCGCGGACATCGGAAACCTGACCCATAGGGGGGCTCTGTACAAGGACGGCGAGCGGAATCCGAATCAGTTGTGCAATCAGCTTCTTTTCTTCTGTGGTGTGGCGGATGCCGTGCTGTTTTTGGGCAATCCGCACGCGCAGGTGGTGTGGAGTCTGCTTCAGCAGGGAAGGCACGTCTTGGCCGTGGATGGGGACACAACGCAACTCGAATACACCGTGCAGTATGTCACCCATGAAGTGTCGTCCAAGGCTTACCCATGCGATTTCCACCATGTTGTGGTCGAGCCCATTTATGACCCGAACAAGGACATATTCTTCAAGTTGACTCCGAAGAAAAGGCGCCAGGTCTACTCCTTCCTTTACGGCGAAYAACCAAGGTTGAGATTTGACCCGCAGTACGTGGTGCGGAAGGAAGTCGCCATTGCGGTCCTCCAGGGCTACCACGGAGCGAGTCGGGCCGGCGCTGTGAGCTTCATTAAGAGGCTGGAATATGTCTTTTTTAATGAGGATGTTGTCGATCCGGTCGACTTCACTTTGGAAAAGTACAAGCTGGCATTCGGTGAGGAGGACGACTTCAATATCGAGACTGAGCAGGAGGAGAGCGTTGAGGACGACCTCTTCGATTTGGACGGGCAATTGGCCATCTTCAACGCCCAAGTTTCTGAGTCGCCATCAGTATGCAAACCGGGGACACCTCTCGCTACACCTACCTCGGGCTGTCCTACGCCCGTGTCCTCCTCAGCGCCTGTCAAGAGGGGTGGGTTGTCTCGTCTGAGGAGTTCGCCGGGGGAGCCTATTCATCTCACACCGCAGCCCGAACATCTTCGACCCGGCCATCCAGTTCCTCCGGACCATCCGCATCTCAAGGCTCCTGTGACTCCCTTCCACATGGGCGACAAACACACCTTCTCCACAGCCGAAGATTGGGGCCATGATATCGTGTGGCACCCAGTCCTTCTCGACGGCGAATGGACAGTGGCTGTGAGGGACGTAAGTGGAGGGTGGATATATGAAGATCGTTGGGACCTCGAGACATTCAAATCTCGCGCCTACGATGCGGTATTGGAGAGATTAGGTGAGGTCAATCGAGGAAATAAGGACGACCCTGCTCTTCGCGAATACGGGGACACGCTGTTCGAGTGCTTGCAATCAAATACATGGCTGGAAGTGTCCTCCGCGTTCTACGCCCTTCCGTCAAGCCCGTCAATTAAGCAAGTGAGTTGGGAGTTGCCTAGGGTCACCCCGCCGGCAGGAGTTCTGAAGCACAAGTCTCGCGGAAAGGACAGCGACGGGGATGGTGAAGGCTGCGGGCAACGAGGTACCGGAGGTGGAAGTGAACAGCGTTCGACGAAACAGCGGTCTCTGAGGCATTTAGGCGCCGGAGAGGGGAAAAAGGGCAGTTGGGAAAAGAAGAAGCCTCGCAGCGGAGAGAAGACAAAGCATCACAGAGGAGACGGGCAGGGGTCGATTGTGACGAGGACGGTGGGGTTCTGGCGGTAACAGGCAGCACCTCAATGGAGACAGGGAGCGACTTGAGGCCTGGGTGTATTACGCGGCCTGGCGAGCAACACCCTTTGATTAGCTCCACCAGCGAAACACAGTTTGTCGATGCGGTTGGCGGGGCGGGTGTCACAAAGCATGGAACATGCTTCGCTCAGCTCCAAAAACGGTTGGCGGATTGTCTCGGATCAATCCAAACCTCGGAGACGACCTCGTTGTCCGGAACTCAGTGCCTTCCGGGAAGCGAGACGACAACATACCACGGGTCCGGTAGCGACAAGCTGGAACCATGTTCCGTTTTGCCTCAAAAGGAATTTCAGATTAATCCGAACCGCGAAGGTCGTGCCATCGAGGGAGCACAGCTGTCTATAGAACTCGAACGGGTGGTCCGGGTTTCCGAAAACCCTGGCGACGAAATTCGGATTCATCTGAACCAGGAAGCCGTGTCTGCCATGACAGACGATCGGTGTCAGGATGCAGTAATGCTATGCGTGGAAGCCCACACGGAGCTGCAGGCGGACTGTCGGACTGAGGGTGAGTTGGCGACCAGTTCCAATGTCGAGCCCAACACACTCCGAGCCGAGTTAGCAGTCGTAAGCGACTCCCCGGTGATAGCGGTCATATCGGCGTCATTGGAAACTGCGGGGGCTCGGATGAATCCGAACCAGGGCCCTGTAAACATCTCCCTCCCTGATGCATCTTTCGAGACGACCGTGATTCGAATTCATCCGAGGCACACGGACGAAGGACTTCAACTCGCAGGCGTTGAGGGTTGTCGACTACTAACGACTTTGGACATGGACAATTCCGCCGACGACCGGATTGATCCGACACTCAACGACGTCGGGATGGAGCTACCAGTTCAGCCAGGATACGACGATCCCTTGTACTCCGCCCTTCACAACGAGGCGATGGGGGAGGACGTTCTGAAGAAGGCCTCTGACGCTGTTGGAGATAGATTTCTCTATTTGAGTGACGACGACAAAGACACAGCCTACGGGGACAAGAAGTTAAGGGGGGAGAGGTGTTGTTGGACATCCATGGGACATTGTGCCCAACACAATACGACACAGTGGCAATGGAGAAAACACAACCTGTCGATGTTGTGGACATCGACGATCTTTGTCCGGAGACGAATATACCGTCTACGGTCATCGACGCCGACATCTCGAGCCTGTCAAGTTTCCCAGTGGGTTTGGAGCACGTCGTCGCCGCGTCGACGAGCATGTCGTCGCCGCGTCAACGCGCGCAGGGGTGCGAATCGTGCTGGGACTGCCGTCGGTGGGCTCTGGTGAAGTGGTAGCTAGGCCTGGTAAGCACTGACTTTCTCTGCTTTCTTCCCGCTCGTCAGCCCCTTCGTGAAGTGTTGTTTGCTTCGTCGATTTCGGGGAGGTGTATAGGCGGCCGCCAACTTGATGTGACGATGTGCTTCCTAAGGTGCTGTTTGCTTGGTTGCTCTTGCGAACTTGTGTTGTTGATCTCCTGCTGAACTGTCTGGGTGGCTATTTTTTGTACAGGTCGACGAACTCGTGGACAAACACCCATATCGGAGGAGCCACCTGCCCTCGGCAGGTTGTTAGTCCTGGTTGCGGGAGGCACAGGTCGTCGCAATGTCACTGATGCATTTCCTCGGGACACTAAGCCTCGAGAACCTCCCAGAAGGGTAATCGTGCCCGTATTGGGCTCCCGCGCAAGACTCGTTGCAGAGGCAGCGGGTGTTGCCGAAAAAGACTGCAAGGAATTCGTTCTCGAGGCTTGCAGGGATATAAAGGACAGTGCTAGTTTAGAATCAACTGTGTGTAGAAGGTCCAGAAGTAGGGGTGACGTTATGCGTAAACTTTTCGGACCACAGAGTAGCGGTTCCTCGGAGCATGGCCGCTAGGATGACATTTTCTCATAGTGCCCCGTCCTTTGTGCTTGCTGTGTGCTGCGGGTATTTTTTGAACAAAGTTTCCTCGAGATGGAAGAGCAGTCCTTGAAGACGTTATCTGCTCCCGGTTGCCGCTCACTATCATCGTCGCGCGTTTGCCGTCGCACAGTTTACAGGTATCCGTCAAGGACATCGTCGCACTCGTGGATAGATCCGGGGAGCTCAACGATGAGGTTGTCAATTTCTACATGGCGATGCTACTGGACAACTGCGGCCGGATTGCCGCTACCATGAAGACATACACCTATAACTCTTTCTTCGCCTCTTCACTGCTTCTGCGAGGTCGGACAGCTGTTCTCAGATGGGGTAAAGATGTCGACCTCTTGTCTCATTACCTCGTCTTGGCACCAGTGCACAAGGGCGGCGAACACTGGAGCCTTTTGGCCATTGACTTCTCTAGACGTGTTTTGGAAATTTATGATCCTTTCTCGTGTTCGTCATCCAAAGATTCCTACCACTCCGCACGTCTGGATAAAACTGTTAAATTTTTGAACACAGTGGCAGGTGCCGCCAGTGACGGTCGCAGTTTCGACCACTTCGCTCGCGAGGTCAGCGTGAAAGGTGTCCCTCAGCGACACGACAGGGCTAGTTGTGGGATGTTCATGTTGATGTTCGCTTCCTGTTTGGCGAGAGGTTTACATCCACCTTTTGGTTTCTCCCATAGACGCATCTCCTCTATCAGAGCTAGACTAGCTTTGGCGATTTGCAATGTTGATAGGTAATCGTCTATCTCTTTGTTGATCATGTAGTGTAGAAGGGTTGACGTAGAAGAATATTTCGTTCTTCTCCGGACGAAATTTATTCCTCTTCATTTTTTCCGTGAGGGACTGGTGGATGTTCTCGGTTTGGTTCAGAGCAGAACTGACAGTCACTGCCAAGAAATCTCCGGGTGAACTTGTCATGTCCCCGGCGTGTTTGTCGTCGACAATATTGTTCTTTCTCATTGGATTTCAATTATCACGAACGTCCCCGTTGTTGGAGCGCCTGTTTCGTGATTGAATATCTCGCTTTCGTCATTTTGTGCCTTGTGTGGTATGATGTTCTGCCCGCATACTCCAATGCATCCGGACTCGAACTAACTCTATGCTTTTCTGCCTCTCTCCCGAACCTCCCCCGTCGTCTACACTCATCTATGCATTTTCACTTTGAATGTTGTGAGGCGTCACAGAGAACAAAATACAGCACACGGGCCTCTTTATACATTTGATGGTCCGTTTGGCCCTCCGCACTGTGTGCTTTGTGATTCCGACATTGAATGCTGTCAATTTTTTGGCCCGGCAAAGCTCCCCTTTTGCACGAGCATTCATACATTCGGTTCCTATGCATTACCCAATACAATGAAAAATTTGATTGTGCCGAGAGGGAAAACCCAAAAGGTGACGCCAATGGCTGCTCGAATGTGATGAGATTTGAATTAAGGTGGCGCGACTGAAAATACAATTGCATGATTGGACAAAATTGGATGTGGTGACGGAAAGATAAATCACAAGGCGAAGCCGATTGATACTGCAAAGTGACACAAATGACCATTGTATGATTGGTGATCGCCTCAAGTTTTGAAAAACGAATTCAAAAATCAGCTCTCTCTCTCTCTCTCTCTCTCTCTCTCTCTCTCTCTCTCTCTCTCTCTCTCTCTCTCTCTCTCTCTC